AGCCTGTCTGTGGAGCGGCTGCCCCACCAGGCTGCGGCTGCCCTTCAGCAGTCAGAGCAGGGTCTTGGTGGTCCTTTTACCGCCCTGCCAGGCACGCGGCCGGGCATCCTGGGATGTTGTGTGCCTGGGGCCATGACTCCTGTAGACTGGTGTCTTGTGCCAGCTGTGTCTCTTGCACAAACACCGCTGCTGTGTGCTAAGCCTCTCAGCCTGCTCTGCTTGCTGCCTGGGCTGTCAAGCGGGATTTGGGGCAGTGCTGGAGGCGGGCTCAGAGGGTGGTAAGGTAGGAATGGAGCGAGGGGCTGAGCCTGGGTCCCAGAGATGGGGAGAGGGCTGTGTCAGTAGACTAGGATGGATATACATCTCCTGAGAGCCCTGGGAGCAGGAGGGCAGGTAAGGCTGAGCACAGGCTGCTTCAGCTCCTAGGGCATAAAACAGAGGCAGGAGGGAGAGACCTGAGGGAAGGGAGGCTCTTGCCAGCCCCTGCCAGAGATCCGCCCGTCTCGAGGCACGTACTGTAAATCCACGGTACCTCTTGGCTGCTGAAGGGACTAAAGGAGGAGCTTTGTCCTTCCAGCTTGTGCCAGCACAAGTGTTTCTGTTGCTGTGCTGAACCAGTTAGGGCAGTTGTTCACCCAGATTGATTTCCCTGGCCCGCCTCACCTTGTGAAGCTTGGGCAGGCAAGGCTGCTGCCCCCGCTGCCTGCACCGACTCAAGCAGCCTGCAAGAAGCCAGTGTTAACAGTTTTGAGCACGTGGCCGTCATGGCTAGCCCCTTGGAGAGCAGCTTGGGCGGAAGGGGTTAAGCAGGCATGTCAGACCCATGGCTGCTTTGCTCTAGCCTGGGGCTGCGGAGGGAGTGAATGCCAGTCAAGACAGAAGGCTCTGGCTTGCAAACCTTCCCTGGGTTCATGTCCTGCCCAGCATGCAGGGGCAGGAGCCCTCCCTGGATGGCCTGGTCTGAACTGCTTAGCTTTTGAGACCACGAGTCCTCTCTGCTGGGCTGGATGGTGTCCGTGTTCCTTCCGCCCCTCCGGATCCTGGAGGACAGGAGTTACAGGAGCCAGGTGCAGGAGCTGCAGCCGGGTGGGAGGCTGAGGGAATTGAGTCACAACAGAAGGTCCCACTTTCAAGCACGGCCAAGGAGCAGCCCTGGTGGAGATGTCACCTTGTCCTGCAGGGATGGTGCAGGGTTTGGAAGATGGGTTGGTGTGGCCCATGAGCAGGCTGTCCTTCCCCAGGCAGACTGATGAAGATCGCAGCAATCTGTGGAATCCAGGTGCTGTTGAGCTTGGCTTGTTCCCTGCCTTCTCAGTTACCATCCATGCTCAGCTGCCTGGCTTGCAGGAATGGGAACAAGCGAGATCAGCATCCCCCCTGCCTCAGAGATGTTTGTCTTGAGCAGGGGCCTGGCAGTTAATGACTTCCTTCAGGGAGGCAGCTTGCCAGGCACGCGGGAGATGGCGTGCGTTGAGCTGAGAGACGCAGCGTGTGCTGGCTGCCGTTGGCCGCAAAGCACGCGGGTCCCCTCTCCTGTGGCTCTTCTCGGAGCTCCCCCTCTGCAGGGGCAGAGGGAAGGGGGAGTTCAGCGGTAGCACAGGCTGTGCTCCCCGCTCCCTGCCAGCCCCATCTCACCTGGAGGTGCAGGGGGGGATCCAGCATTGAATGACCCTCGTGGCTGGGCAGGAGCTCCCTTTCAGGGCACGTGAGTCTTGGCATGGGAGCGAGGTCAGCTTCTGGCTGTGTTGACAAGCATTGGGTGGCTTGTTTGCAGCACTGGCACTCGGCTGCATCTTGCTCCTGCCTTGTCCTGCTGCGGGGATGGTGTTGGTGGTTGGTGTGGTGCGCTGAGCACTGCGCCGCAGCAGTGGGGAGCGACTCCCCAGAGCAGGTGGGCTCCTTGGCATCTCTTAGTAGCCAGGCTATGTGGCAAGCAGCACATTTCCCCATCGGGACATGCTGAAAGCCAACCTTGCAGCCCACTGCCACCATCTGTGGTGGCGCGGTGTGGGCAGCTGCGCAGCAGCACCTGAGGGGGATGTGGCTGTGAAATGGCTGCCACCTGGAGTTGGTGGTTTTGGCAAGTCCTGTACCAGAGGCTGGAGGGGAAGCGGCGGCATAAGGAGCAGAACCTGCTACCTTTGTTGCAACTTCCCCTGCGTGCCCAGGGGCAGGGGGCTGCTTGCACCTGATTTGGGAGCTCAGAAAGTGGCTGAGCAGTCCCCAGGGCAGATGTGAGCCAGAGGATGCTACCTCATCTTGGACCCTGGTTGTGCGTTCCCAGTGCCCTGGCACAGCAGGGGTGACAGCAGTGGTCAGGCCCCTCTGTTTAAGTGCCAAGTCCCCTCCCATCCTCTTCTGTTGGAAATCGTTGGATTCCTCTGCCTGGGTGGGGGAAGGATTATATTGCCAGTGACTACAAAAATAGGGTGAGAATCTGGGATTTTGTGTGGTGTATGTTCTGAGGGTGTTAAATGTCACCTTGGTGCGTGGGGGACTAGTTGCATTTTCTTGCAGCTTCCATATGCTTGTTGGGGCTCATTCCCAGTGCTGCTAGGTCTGTGGGTGAACTATCCCTCACCAGGGCAGGGGGTGTGGGACCAGAGCTCTTCCCTGTGCCTGTGCTGGGAGCAGTGCGGTTGATCCCTGGAGCCCAGGTGTCTCTTGATGCTCGACTAAGCCTGTCCCCTGGGCAGCAGTGCAACTTGTGTATATTGCCGGGCACCTGCAGGCAAAAGAGTTTGAGCCCCATCCTGGGTAAAATTCTTTGTTCTAGCTCTGATGCTCTGAAATAATGGCAGTGGCTTGGTCTGGCAGCAGTCTGTGTGTCCTGGGCTGCTGTGGGGCAGCTGAGGTGATGGGGTGCAGTGTTGGATACAGCCAGACGGTACAGCAGAGAACTGGATGGCCTGAAACTGGACTCCGGGTGCTTGCTGCACCCATGCAGTGCTGGTGTAATGGGCCTGGGGAACTCCTGGGTGATTTGCTCTCCCAGCAGTCTGTTGTGGTATGAACTTGCCCTCTAGTGGCTGCAGGCCCAAATAGTAGGTTTTTTTGTGCCTCCGAGGCCGGCTCCTGCCTCCGTGGAGGTTATGCAGAGACCAGGATCCTCTGATCCAAAGCTAAACCTGGTGGGTAGGTGGAAGGGACTGGAATAGCTGTTGACACTGCCTTCTCCTGAGGAACAACCGCCTGCTTCCTGAGCAGGCCTGGGGATGCATGGGGGGTGGCCTGCAGCTGGACCCTGTGTGGGGAGCAGGAAGGTGCCCCAACACTGGCTCCCAGCCCTTGACAGAAGTCTGCCCGGTGCACTCCAGCAGGGTAGTGGTAACTAGACACCGTATGCGCTTCAGCCTATCTTCTGGTGGGTTGGAGGGGGCACAACATCCCCCCCACTCCCCGGTCTAGGGCTCGTGCTGATGCCTGCTGTCTTCTCTCCTAGGAGTTATGAAGACATGCTGGTGGATGAAGTGGCCCCCGACCGGTACTACTGGGCCCCCCTGGCTCAGCATGAGCGGGGTAGCTTGGCTAGTCTGGACAGCCTGCGGAAGGGAGGTCCGGCCCCCGGTAACTGGCGCCAGCCAGAACTGCCAGAGGTAATAGCCATGTTGAGCTTCCGGCTGGACGCCGTCAAGTCCAACGCAGCCGCCTATCTGCAACACCTCTGCTACCGTAATGACAAGGTGAAGACGGAGGTGCGCAAGCTGAAGGGCATTCCCGTGCTGGTGGGATTGCTAGACCACCCTAAGAAGGAGGTGCACTATGGTGCCTGTGGAGCCCTCAAGAACATCTCCTTTGGCAAGGACCAAGACAACAAGATTGCCATCAAGAATTGCGATGGGGTACCTGCTCTGGTGCGTCTGTTGCGGAAGGCCCATGACATGGACCTCACGGAGGTCATCACAGGTAATGGCTCCAGGGAGGAAAGGAGGGGCTGATCTGTTGGGTGAGGGATGCACAGTGCAGGTTTTTTAAGCCCACATGGTCTGATTGATCACCTCCTGCTTGTGGCATTGCAGGAACACTGTGGAACCTGTCCTCACACGACTCCATTAAGATGGCCATTGTGGATCATGCACTACATGCCCTGACTGATGAGGTTGTCATTCCCCGCTCAGGCTGGGAGCGGGAACCCAATGAGGACTCAAAACCCCGCCATATCGAGTGGGAGTCGGTGCTCACCAACACAGCTGGCTGCCTTAGGTATGGGAAGGGGGGCAGAGAGCTGGCGTGGGTTGGGGCTGCTGTAATGCTCCTGCTAGCTTTCTGGGATTGCTAAAGGAGGTTTGCAGAGGAGTTGCTCTCCTAGGACAACTACTGATGATGTAGTCCTTGATTGCAACCATATCCTGGGCCGCATCAAAAGAAGGATGGCCAGCAGGTCGAGGGAGGTGATTCTGCCCCTCTACTCTGCTCCGGTGAGACCCCACCTGCAGTGCTGCGTCCAG